GATCACCTGTCCAGGTAACTTCAGACTGAAGCCTGTTTAGTGAAATCTTCCAATGCCAAATTATGCAAATATACATCAAATATTCTCAGGAAAACGGAAGATCTATAATAAGCAGTCCTTATAGTCACTGTGTTTGGACACTTATAGCTGAAGTTTAGTGAAAATCCTTTTTTTTTTATTAAAAAAAAAGAAAAAAAAAACCCATCTGGGATAGTATTCACCATAAATAAAGAGTACCCCTCCTTTCTACCCCTGTGCTCCATTCATAGCTGACCATACTATAGGTTCTCACACAAAAAAAACCCAAAAAAGAACAAACAAAAAATGAAACAAAATGAAAAACAAAAAAGAAAGATGGCCGGATGATTGAAAGTCCGCCTCCTCCGTTCATAAACCGCTGATGGTCAGTGCAACGAGTGCCACTTACATTGGTGGTCAGTAATAAAAAAAACTGTTTATATTGGCGGTCAGTGAAATGCATGTTTCTTACATTGGTGGTTAGTGGGATGAATGCTCCTTACATTGATGGTTAGTAAGTAGAATGTCTACTACATTGGTGGTCAGTGAGAAGAATGCTCCTTACATTGATGGTAAGTAAGTAGAATGTCTACTACATCTGTGGTCAGTGAGAAGAATGCTCCTTACATTGATGGTAAGTAAGTAGAATGCTTACTACATCGGTGGTCAGTGAGAAGAATGCTGCTTACATTGGTGGTAAATGACAAAAGTGCCCCTTGCATTGGTGATCCATAGGAAGAATGTTCCCTACATTAGTGGTCAATGGTATGAATCTTTTTTTCAAACAAATAGGAGAAAAAAGAAAAATATAGTTCCAGTGGTTATGAGGGTGATATAACTCAGCATTTCATTGAAATCCCAGGAGCGCTAAGAATCTGAAATCTGCAAGAATGTGCTCCAGTGCAGGAAAATATTCTCACAAGATTTGGGATCTTCAGTTTACCTAGGATCCTACAATAAGGTCAAGTGATGTCATGCTCGCCTAGTTGGTGGCAAGATGAAAGCATAACCCAGTTCCATATATTGGTGGTCAATGGGAAGAATGGTCCTTTATTAGTGAGAAGAATGCCCTCATACATTAGTGGTCATTAGAAAGAGTGCCCCTTACCTGTTGGTCAGTGGGAAGAATGCTCCTTACCTGTTGGTCAGTGGGAAGAATGCTCCTTACCTGTTGGTCAGTGGGAAGAATGCTCCTTACCTGTTGGTCAGTGGGAAGAATGCTCCTTACCTGTTGGTCAGTGGGAAGAATGCTCCTTACCTGTTGGTCAGTGGGAAGAATGCCCCTTACCTGTTGTTCAGTGGGAAGAATGCTCCTTACCTGTTGGTCAGTGGGAAGAATGTATCTTACCTGTTGGTCAGTGGGAAGAATGACCCTTACCTGTTGGTCAGTGGGAGAAGAATGCTGTTTACCTTGGTGGTTATTGGGACAGATGCCTTATATTAGTGAGAAGAACATCCCCTACATTGGCAATCAGTTAAAAAATGCTCTTACATTGGTGATCAGTGAGGTGAACTTACCTTACATTGGTGGTCGGTGGAAAAAATGCCCCTTAAATTGAGGGTCAGTGGGATGAATGTGTTTTATATTGCAGGTCTATGGGAGGAATTCCCCTTACATTGGTGGTTAGTGAAAAGAGTGCCCTTACATTGGTGCACAGTGAGAAAAAAATTCTACATTGCATTGATGGTTAGTGAGAAGAATGCCCCTTACATTGGTGGTAAGTAAGAAGCATGTCCCTTACATTGGTGGTTAGTGAGAAGAATGCCCCTTACATTGGTGGTAAGTAAGAAGCATGCCCCTTACATTGGTGGTTAGTGAGAAGAATGCCCCTTACATTGGTGGTTAGTGAGAAGAATGCCCCTTACATTGGTGGTTAGTGAGAAGAATGCCCCTTACATTGGTGGTTAGTGAGAAGAATGCCCCTTACATTGGTGGTTAGTGAGAAGAATGCCCCTTACATTGGTGGTTAGTGAGAAGAATGCCCCTTACATTGGTGGTTAGTGAGAAGAATGCCCCTTACATTGGTGGTAAGTAAGAAGCATGCCCCTTACATTTGTGGTTAGTGAGAAGAATTCCCCTTACATTGGTGGTTAGTGAGAAGAATTCCCCTTACATTGGTGGTTAGTGAGAAGAATTCCCCTTACATTGGTGGTTAGTGAGAAGAATGCTCCTTACATTGGTGGTTAGTGAGAAGAATGTTATTATTAATATTATTATTATTATTATACAGAATTTACAGTATATAGTGCCAACAGTTTGTGCAGCGCTTTACAAAATGAAGGTAGACATTACAGTCATTACAGTTACAATACAATTTGGTACAAAAGGAGCAGAGGGCCCTGCTCGTAAGAGTTTACAATCTAGGAGGAAAGGTTCAGTGATACAAAAGGTAATAGCTGTGGGGGATGAGCTCATGGAGGAATTAAAAGGCAGTTTACTAGTTAGAAGCAGGATAGGCATCTTTAAAGAGAGAAGTTTTCAGGGATCGTCTAAAGGTAGATAGATTAGGAGATAGCTGGACAGATTGGGGTAGGGAGTTCCATAGGATAGTAGAAGCTCTGGAGAAGTTCTGGAGGTGAGCATGGGAGGAGGTGACATGGGAACTAGAAAGCAGAAGGTCTTTGGAGGATCGAAGAGAGCGGTTTGGTTGATATTTTGAGACCAGGTTGGTGATGTAGCTGGGGGCAGAGTTGTGGATGGCTTTGTAAGCTGTTGTTAGTGTTTTGAATTTTTATTTGTTGGGTGAGTGGAAGCCAGTGGAGGGATTGGCAGAGAGTGTCCCTTACATTGGTGATAAGTAAGAAGCATGCCCTTTACATTGCTGGTCAATAAAAAGAATGCCCCTTACATTGCTGGTCAATGAAAAGAATGCCCCTTACATTGCTGGTCAATGAAAAGAATGCCCCTTACATTGCTGGTCTGTGAAACGAATGATCCTTACAGTGGCAGTCTGTGGAAAAAAATGGGCTACTTACAGAAAGATAAAAAAGACCATTGGTATCTATGTAATTCTATGGCTGAACTGGATGGACTTTTGTCTTTTTTCAGCCAGACTAACTATGTAACTATGTAACTATCAGTCGTATCTGAGAAGCAGAAATTGCTAGTTTCTCAATAAATACCTTTGAAGGAATCCTGGACAAAAAAAGCAGTCATGGTCCTCAGCCCCCATGTAAAAATGCAGAATTATTTATTTTTGGACCAAACATTAGGGGGAAAAAAAGTAAAAGAAGCTTCTGGTGATTACAGGGATGACATCACTCAACAATCCCATGGGATCCCCAGATCCAGTGCAGGAGCACATTCTCACATGTTTTGAGATCCTCAGTTTATTCTAGATCCCATGATAAGGCTGATTGGTATCAATCTCACCAAGGCCCAGAGGCCACAAATTATGGTGTAAGGTAATCTTATTTATCTTTTCTATGCTAATGTTCATGCTGCCATTGTGGCTTACTAGATAGTGATGAGGATGACAGCCCCTAAAAGTCAGCCATAGCTTCTCCAACATGTTTCTCCTATCGGGGTGTATCATTACTGAGAGCCCTGCGCTCAGCTATCCTGGGCTCCTGACACCATATTATATGACACACTTGTATGACACCCATGTGATACTGTAGGGGTAATTCGAAAAAAGGCTCATGGGGTACTCAGTCCTCTCAGATCAAATAAAAGTATACCAGTTTGAAAGTGTACTAAATACAAACTATTTAGATTATTATTGGTTATTTTAAAGAATTGTTTTGAAAGCACTTATATACAGTATATTACCAAAAGTATTTGGACACAGGGGCAAACCTAGGGTTGGTGTCACTCTGTGCGATAACATTTGGTGACACCCCCTCCGACGATAAACGCAGAATGGATCGGATCTGCGGATTGAGCATAATGGATTGGATTATGCTCCCCAATCCGCAGATCCGATCCATCCTGCGGGGATCGTCAGCTTTCATTACAACTTACGTTTTCATGGAGCGGGTCCAGTGGCACCACGTATAGGTTGCATGCCAATGATCCCCACAGGATGGTTCGCATCTGTGGATTGAGCATAATGGATCGGAGTCTGATCCATTATGCTCCCTAATCCGCAGATCCAATCCATCCTGCGGGATCGTCGGCATGCAACCTATACGGGGTGACACCGGACCCGCTTCACAAAAAGGTAAGTTGTAAAGAAGGCTGACGATCCCCGCAGTATGGTTCAATATTAAGTTGGCTCAACCTTTGTAGCTATAGGAGCTTCAACTCTTCTGGAAGGCTGTCCACAAGGTTTAGGAGTGTCTATGGGAATGTTTGACCTTTTTTCCAGAAGTGCATTTGTGAGGTCAGGCACTCATGTTGGATGAAAAGGCCTGGTTCGCAGTCTCCGCTCGAATTCATCCCAAAGATGTTCTATTGGGTTGAGGTCAGGACTCTGTGCAGGCCAGTCAAGTTCCTCCACCCCAAACTCGCTCATCCATGTCTTTATGGACCTTGCTTTGTGCACTGGTGCGCAGTCATGTTGGAACAGGAAGGGGCCATCCCCAAACTGTTCCCACAAAGTTAGGAGCATGAAATTGTCCAAAATGTCTTGGTATGCTGATGCCTTAAGAGTTATCTGGGCAGCACAGTGGCTAAATGGTTAGCACTTCCACCTGGCAGTAGTAGGGTCGTTGGTTCGAATCCCAGCCATGGCACTTCCTGCCTGGAGTTTGCATGGTCTCCCTGTGCCTGCATGGGTTTCCACTGGGTACTCCGGTTTCCTCCCACACTCCAAAGACATGCTGGTAGGTTAATTGGATCCTGTCTAAATTGGCCCTAGTATGTGTATGTATGAATGTGAGTTAGGGACCTTAGACTGTATACCCCTTGAGTGTTAGGGACTGATGTGAATGTACAATATATATGTAAAGTGCTGTGTAAAAATTGACGGTGCTATATAAGTACCTGAAATAAATTAAAAATAAATAATCTCCCCTCCACCAAACTTTACACCTGGCACAATGCAACCAGGCAAGTACTCTCTACACACTGTTGTTGTGCTAATCTGAAGGCCACATGAAGCTTGGAGGTCATTAGCTATTGACTCTGCAGACAGTTGGCGACTTCTGTGCACTGTGTGCTTCAGCATGCGCTGACCCCGCTTTGTCATTTTACATGGCCTTCCACTTCGTGGCTGAGTTGTTGTTGTTCCCAGTTGCTTCCTCTTTGCTATAATACCACTAACAGTTGACCGTGGAATATTTAGTAGCAAGGAAATTTCATGGATGGACTTATTGCACAAGTGGCAGCCTATCACGGTACCCCACTTGAATTCAATGAGCTCCTGAGAGCGACCCATTCTTTCACAAATGTTTGTAGAAGAAGTCTGCATGCCTAGGGGCTTGATTTTATATACCTGCGACCATGGAGGTGATTGGAACACCTGAATCTAATTATTTCGATGGGCGTCCCAATACTTTTGGCAATACAGTGTATATGTAAATGGAATGGGCAATAAGTGTACAGAATTGAAGGGAAATCTGAGAAAAATTGACATATATAGAAGATGGTATTTGGTAAATATTTGTTGTATGGCATTGAAAATTAAAGGTTGAGAAACATCAATATAAGTAATAACCCCATAATCAGTGGCAATCCTCCTCATAACCTCTGTCGTTTTATTGTAAATAATGACATGCACTGACCATACTTGGCCTTTTGTAATTGTATTGCACATAGAAGGTGCCTTGGCGGGTCTAATGGATTCAGCCATGTTGATACTGGTACATCTGGGTACAAACAATGTATTTCAATCAGATGTCCACTAGGGGGAGATGTAAGAGTTGTCATTCCTACAGACAGTGGATGGGAAATATTCTTGTCCCCTATGTACAGCATGTCATATTGGTGCAAAATTTGGCATCAGCTTGAGCAATGCAGCAAGAGTTTTGCAGGAAGTATGTATGTAATGTCTTCTGTTGTTTCTGATTTGAGAAGTATACTTGCAGCACTATGACAGCCAAGACTGGGGAGAACTGAAAATTGAGGAAAAACTCAACTGCCCCTTTCATGCTACAGACAATAAATTTTTGTGGGCTAAAGAAAGTATACTACACAAAGTTGCAGTGGTACTACAGTGATTGATTAGTAGCCCTGATCAAAGGTGGTTGCAGCCTTAACAGCTAGGTTCACCTTTATTAAAAAATAATAAATGTAGATGTGTTTGCAGGAAAAAAATGTGCATTTATTATTTTTTTAACAGGAGCCTGCAAAGCATTGCAACAGTGATCAGTGGATCGTGGGTGCACTGTCAGGGTCAGGCAGACATTTCCTCCAGCTCTCTGCCCCTACCTCTGTACAAGCTTTCAATTAGAAAGCTGGAGGAAGTGTCAATGGATTGTGAGTGTGCTGATTACTCCACTTGTAGTCTATTGAGAACTACAAATCTGTCTGCAGCAATGGCAGAGAGGACTTGTAGTGTATTTATTCACAGATCTCTGTGAATGAATGGTGCAGATGTGTAGGCAGAGCCACACTTGAATGCATTGATTTTAAATGTGACAGGGGCTACGGGGGAAAAGAAACTCCCTGATGCTGTCATGAGGGGTGGGGGGCGGGCTTCTAGGGGTGGGAAGCAGGTGCTTGGGATTATGTTACATGTTACACACTAAATAATGACAATTCAGTCCCACCCCGTACTTGGTGTCATTCTAGACTCCAATCTGTCCTTCCAGCCCCAAGTCCAATCGCTAAACAAACTCATGCAGACTCCACCAACATCTCCAAAATACGCCCATTCCTAACCCCGGAAACTACTAAGCAACTCATCCACTCCCTCATCATATCACGACTTGATTACTTCAACTCCCTCCTCACTGGCCTGCCTCGCCACAGGCTATCCCCGCTTCAGTCGATCCTGAATACGGCGGCCAGACTCATCTACCTTACCAACCGCTCCGTTTCCACCACCCCCCTCTGCCAATCCCTCCACTAGCTTCTGATTACCCAACGGATCAAATTTAAAATGCTAACACTGACGTACAAAGCTGTCCATAACTCTGCCCCCAAACTACATCACCAACCTGATATCCAAATACCACCCAAAACGCACTCTCCGCTCCTCACAATACCTCCTTCTCTCTAGTTTCCTGGTCTCCTCCTCCCATGCCTTCCTCCAGGACTTCTCCAGGGCATCACCCATGCTATGGAACTCCCTACCCCAATCCATCAGACTATCACCTACTCTCCTCTACTTTAGGCGCACCCTGAAAACCCATCTCTTCAGGGAAGCCTACCCCGCCCTCTGCTAAATGCCGATCTCCTCCACTCTTCCTACCACCCCATCCCCCCACAGCTTTTCCTCCCGTACCACTATCCTCTCCCTCCTAGATTGTAAGCTCCAAGCAGCAGGGCCCTCAAACCCCTCGTGTATCGCATTGTATTGTTATTGTACTGTCTCATGTATTGTCTCCCATTGTAATGTACAGTCAGGTCCATAAATATTGGGGACATCGACACAATTCTAACATTTTTGGCTCTATACACCACCACAATGGATTTGAAATGAAACAAACAAGATGTGCTTTAACTGCAGACTGTCAGCTTTAATTTGAGGGTATTTACATCCAAATCAGGTGAACGGTGTAGGAATTACAACAGTTTGCATATGTGCCTCCCACTTGTTAAGGGACCAAATGTAATGGGACAATTGGCTTCTCAGCTGTTCCATGGCCAGGTGTGAATTATTCCCTCATTATCCTAATTACAATGAGCAGATAAAAGGTCCAGAGTTCATTTCAAGTGTGCTATTTGCATTTGGAATCTGTTGCTGTCAACTCTCAAGATGAGATCCAAAGAGCTGACACTATCAGTGAAGCAAGCCATCATTAGGCTGAAAAAACAAAACAAACCCATCAGAGAGATAGCAAAAACATTAGGCGTGGCCAAAACAACTGTTTGGAACATTCTTAAAAGAAGGAACGCACCGGTGAGCTCAGCAACACCAAAAGACCCGGAAGACCACGGAAAACAACTGTGGTGGATGACCGAAGAATTCTTTCCCTGGTGAAGAAAACACCCTTCACAACAGTTGGCCAGATCAAGAACACTCTCCAGGAGGTAGGTGTATGTGTGTCAAAGTCAATAATCAAGAGAAGACTTCACCAGAGTGAATACAGAGGGTTCACCACAAGATGTAAACCATTGGTGAGCCTCAAAAACAGGAAGGCCAGATTAGAGTTTGCCAAACTACATCTAAAAAAGCCTTCACAGTTCTGGAACAACATCCTATGGACAGATGAGACCAAGATCAACTTGTACCAGAGTGATGGGAAGAGAAGAGTATGGAGAAGGAAAGGAACTACTCATGATCCTAAGCATACCACCTCATCATGAAGCATGGTGGTGGTAGTGTCATGGCGTGGGCACGTATGGCTGCCAATGGAACTGGTTCTCTTGTATTTATTGATGATGTGACGCTGACAAAAGCAGCAGGATGAATTCTGAAGTGTTTCGGGCAATATTATCTGCTCATATTCAGCCAAATGCTTCAGAAACTCATTGTGTGCCGCTCACAGTGCAGATGGACAATGACCCCAAAGCATACTGCAAAAGCAACCAAAGCATTTTTTAAGGGAAAGAAGTGGAATGTTATGCAATGGCCAAGTCAATCACCTGACCTGAATCCGATTGAGCATGCATTTCACTTGAAGACAACAAAACTGAAGGGAAAATGCCCCAAGAACAAGCAGGAACTGAAGACAGTTGCAGTAGAGGCCTGGCAGAGCATCACTAGGGATGAAACCCAGCGTCTGGTGATGTCTATGCGTTCCAGACTTCAGGCTGTAATTGACTGCAAAGGATTTGCAACCAAGTATTAAAAAGTGAAAGTTTGATTTATGATTATTATTCTGTCCCATTACTTTTGGTCCCTTAAACAAGTAGGAGGCACATATGCAAAACTGTTGTAATTCCTACACCGTTCACCTGATTTGGATGTAAATACCCTCAAATTAAAGCTGACAGTCTGCAGTTAAAGCACATCTTGTTTGTTTCATTTCAAATCCATTGTGGTGGTGTATAGAGCCAAACATGTTAGAATTGTATAAAAAGTAAAGTGCAGCGCTAAAGAAAACAAAAAACAAAATAAAATAAAATAAACGCACATAAAGTCAATAAAAATAAAAATAAGTCCGCAAAAATATGAGGGAGGGGGGAAGGGGAAGGCCCTAGGCCAAAAAAAGTCTCAAAAAAAGAAGGACGACTTCAAATGCCCATATACACTGATCAAAGATGTATATACTGCGGTAGAGATGGAGTTTGAAGATGTAGTCAGGGAACAGAGGTAGATGCAATCCCCGGATCAGTGAAGATCCCCAGATCAAGGAGACAAACGTTCCACAAGACAGCAAGGAAGCAGTCACAGCTCCACCAAAGAGAAACACCACTCCTTCACTTCATATCAGCGGCATCTAGGAGGAGATACTCCTCATAAAAAGAAAGCCCATGGTGAGGTACATTTAAAAAGCATTTATTAAATAAAACAGGATGCATCCAGAGTATATATGAAAATGCACACCGCTAGTAAATAAACATGAAAACTAGCAATGGAGGCGGAACAGGACTAACCGTCCTGTCAGATGTAGTGGCCGCCGGAGCTCCCCAGTGCTCCGACGGCGTGGCGTCAAGGCGTGCGCAGGTTCCTCCTTACGCGTTACGTGCCAAGCACATCCTCAGAGGAAAGAACCGGTGTACGCCGTGGCGTGCCAATCAGAGCTAAATAAGCCAAAAGGCGCATGCGCAGTAGCCAGGCGCCATTTTGTCGTAGCTCTCAGAAGTATATGTGTCAATCCGGAATTAACAGGAGGGACAACGGGTAATACAACAATAGAACCAATACATCATTAGTACAAAAAGATATGTCATATCCATTAGTAAATGATGGAACAGGTAAAAAGGGAAGGTATAATGCAACCAAGGACAATATCATGAAAATATGCCGGATAAAAGGACGCATTATCGTCGTAGTAAAATGCCAATACACTCATAGTTCCAATAGGAGCAAAAATGAGTTAATTATACTGATAATATGGTATTGGTAAAACGAAAAAATTGTATTAAAGAATCAGAAATAAATAAAAGATCCCGCTAAAAGGAGCAAAACGGAGCAAAAAAAAGGGGGATCACACATGAAGAATAGGTTATGGAAAAAATAATAATAATAGCAATGATCATGACATGGGCCAGTGACTACATGTACCACAACGAAGTTATACATAGTATGAACCATAATCACATAAAACAGAAAATTGCATAAAAAACATAAAAGACATAAGATGGGGAAAAAGGAGGGGGGGGGGAGAGAGGGGGGGGGGGTGGTTGACCCCTTTGAATTCAGCTATTGTCAATAAAGCAGTT